ATTTGTGTCCCGCCGTCTTACAAAACATCAGGGCAGTTTTAAAAGCTTTAAAAGCAGCACAGAACAATCATTAACATGACTGGTTTTTCCAAAAAACGTTTTTAAACAACTGCATAGGCTTGTCAGAATGGAAAGCAAGCCTTCAATAGGTGCCTTGAATTGAAAAGCAAAGATGCCTGCCAAATCTCTGCTGGAAGAGTACTCCACCGCATGAAACCAGCATAACTAAATGTCTGTCTTCTGGCTGAGACCAGTTTTTAAAAAATATATTTTTATTAAACAATTTCAGCATAACAAATTATCTGTTCAAATAATCAATTGCATTATTTTTTCCCTTCCCCCACATCCCTCCCTCTCCCCCCCCCCGGACTTCCCTCAGCTCCCCTCTCTGATTTCTTTGCACATATTGTTCTCTGCATGTTATAAAATTGTACCTACCCTTGCCTTATCTATCACGTGTTCAACTCATAAATTTGTGGATGTTTATTCAAAACCTGCCAAGGAGTCCAGATCATTTTGTTGTCTTTTTAGGTAATTTGTAAAAAGTTCCCATTCTTCCTTGAAGTCACAATTGTCCTTATCACGCAGTTTGTATGTCAATTTGGCCAATTCCGCATAGCTCATCAATTTTTCTTGCCACTGTTCTTTCGTTGGGATTTCCTCATTCTTCCATCCTTGTGCTAACAAGACTCTTGATGCTGTTGTAGCATACTTAAATAAGTTCTTTATTTTTCTTGGCAGGTCTTGTCCTACAGTCCCTAAAAAAAATGCTTCTGTTTTTTGCTTTTTTTTGTTTTTACAAATGTCATTTTAAACATTTTTTTTCAGTTCATTATATATCATTTCCCAATTTTTTTAAACTTCTCTACATTCCCACCACATATGATAAAAAGTACCTTCTTTTTCTTTACATTTCCAACATATATTTAACTCGGTTTTGTACATTTTTGCTATTTGTACTGGTGTGATATACCATCTGTACATTATTCTCCTATAGTTTTCTTTCAAAAGAGAACATTCTGTAAATTTCAGATCTACCTTTCACAATTTGTATATTATCAAATTGTATATTATGTCCTATATCTTGTGCCCATTTGATCATGACTGATTTGACCTCCTCGTCTTTTGTTTCCCATTCTAGCAGAATACTATATGCTTTCTTCAGCAGCTTCACTTCTTCTTCTATAACTTCCTTTTGAAATCTGGAAATTGTATAATTGAACCCTTTCTTATTATCTTCCTTATACATTTCATGTAGTTGTCTGTAATGTAACCAACTCTGAAAATGGTCTTTAATTTCCTCATAGTCTTTTAATTTCCATTTCCCTTCATGATCTCTCAGTAAATCTCTGTATGTAGGCCACTTCCCCTTTTTGCCAAGCGGTTTGAGTAACGAAGCTTCAATTGGTGATAACCACCAGGGTGTTTTTTTGTTCTATTAAATCTTTATACCTCTCCCACACCCTCATTAGTGATCTCCTATGGCTGAGACCAGTTGGTCCTCTGTAACATGGGAGACAATGAACAGCGCTGCTCCCAAGGATCTCAGAAACTGGGCTGGGATATAAGGGTTCATGCAGTCTTAAAGGTATCATGAACCCAAGTTATTTAGGACTTTGTATATCAACACAGAGCCTTGAATCTGGCCTGGTAGCATATGGGCAAGCCATGTAGATGCTTTAGCAAATGTGGCAAATGTTGTAGGCCATCTACCCCCATCAACAGTCTTGTGTTGTTGATATGATGTTGTTCACTGCTATGATCCACCTCTTAGACCTTTTTTTGGCACATAAATACAGATATGCAAATGAATTATTTGCAATAGTTTTCAAATAATAAATAAAAGCTAAAATTGGAAGTGGGGGACCAGGAGATTTCTTCCATTTCTCTACTCAAAACTGCCCCACCCCAGCTGCTTTTTTCCCAGTGGGGGGAAAAGTTAAAGGGTCCTTGGCACTTTCTCCGATGAATGGGAAATCAGCTAAGGGTGATTTTGAGTGAACAAACAGGAGAAAGTGAAAGAATCAAGCATGCGCCCACTGTTTTTCTACTCCTGATATCAGTGCCCTGCTGATGAATTATATTATTATTATTATTATTATTAAATAATGATTCTGGCTGAATAAAAATTCTTGTTTCTCCGTGAGCTGCCATTTTAGATGCTGCTCATCCCTGGATCCTGCAAGTTGCTCTTTGAAGTCTTCCAAGTTCAGAAAGCAGTTTGGCAGGTAGGTACAAAAGCTTCTGGAAAGGGGAAAGGGGTCCCTAGTTCCCCCTACACCCCATCCCCCCCAAAGAAATCACATTTGAACCCAAGAATTTAAAGACCCAGATGACTCACTAGTCAATCATTTAAGAGCTGGACCATAAAGAAGGCTGATCGCCGAAGAATTGATGCTTTTGAATTATGGTGCTGGAGGAGACTCTTGAGAGTCCCATGGACGGCAAGAAGATCAAACCTATCCATTCAGCCCTGAGTGCTCACTGGAAGGACAGATCCTGAAGCTGAGGCTCCAATACTTTGGCCACATCATGAGAAGAGAAGACTCCCTGGAAAAGACCCTGATGTTGGGAACGATGGAGGGCACAAGGAGAAGGGGACGAGATGGTTGGACAGTGCTCTCGAAGCTACCAGCATGAGTTTGACCAAACTGCAGGAGGCAGTGGAAGACAGGAGTGCCTGACGTGCTCTGGTCCATGGGGTCACGAAGAGTCGGACACGACTAAACAACTAAAGAACAACAACATACCCTTTTAAAATGTGGCTCTTTTGGGTGGGGGGTATTAATGGGTTGCTGTTGTTTTTATTATATATACTGTGGTTTTTATGTTGATATTTTCTGTGAACCGCCCTGAGACCTCCGGGTATATGGTGGTATATAAATTGAAGAAGAAGAAGAAGAAGAAGAAGAAGAAGAAGAAGAAGAAGAAGAAGTCGTCTTCCCACTCTGTACTCTGTACTCAACAATCAACATCTACACTGTGTAGTCCAAGGTTCAAATCCCCATTCTGCCATGAAGTTCACTGGGTGACTTTGACCAAGCAATAATGAATCTTCCTTTACATTATATATTTACAAGGGAGTTATGACATAAGCTCCTGTGGACTGGAACCCACTTCATCAGATGTGTGTAGTGTTATCCTCAGTTAAAAGCTATGTCTGCCTGGTAATATAAAATAAAATGTAAGCAATAAAGTCAGAGGGTCAGTCTCTCAGTGAAACCCTGAGGTCTTTGGAGGAAGAAAAAATAAATATCCCAGAAATATGCTAACATGTTTCCACAGATACCCCACAGCTCCAGATATTGAACCACTATGTTTCTGAGCACTTTTCGTGGCCCTTATTCATGCTTCTCTGCCAGATTTTGACATATGATGAACATAACTTTCAAAATATGCTACCGGTCCACAAGATTAGATAGATCCTTACCACCCAAATGATAGGTTACATGGAAAACGTACTTCCTGAAATTTGGAAAACATTGTATTTGCCAAGATTTGGCTTCAGATTGTCTGTTGACTGACGAACAAATTGACACCATTAATGTCTATCATTCATTGATGGCTTTTTCTCTCCCCCCCCCAGCTGGATAATTGCATGTTTCGGTGAGTTCTACATAAAAGCTATAATTTTCTTTTGTTGGCTTATTATATGGGGGCTGCTGTTTTGTAGTGTGCATTGTGCAATTCTGCCCCACATATTCATGCAACACCTAATGGTATTATTTAGGAATAAAGGTAAAAAGACAAGCTGTAAGGCTAATGATAAGTTGGATAAATGCAATCAATCATGCACTCTCAGAGAACCTCTCAATAGTCTGCTCTGCATCTTTAGTCTTTTACATGCTGACATATAGCTAGGAGGAATGTATCCAGGGAGTAAAAATATGAAGCGCAAATTTCAGGAGAAGGGCCGCAGCCAAGAAGCAAATTTCAGATGTACAAAATTCCCACAAAATGGAATTTGCAGGAATCTGCAAGTCCATTGGAAAATATTGTGCTAAATTTCAGATAGGGTTGAAGCCAGCCACATTTAATCTATAATACTGCATACGAATGTTGTTTCTCCAGGTCTGTAGGGCTATTTGGCAATCATTGTAGCAATTCTAAGCAACATCAAAGCTGGAAGATGAGAAATTTGGAGGATTCTATCAACAGCAACAACACTGTCAATTGTGATACCAGCATCACACTGGTTTTTCTCCTCTGTGTCTCAAACAGTCATAGCATAATCCCCTCTAATGGAAGCCAGTAGCAAAATTCCTATTGAATTTGTAATTGTAAAGGCTTTCTGCAGTAAACCTGCACTTTGGTTCTTAACTGGACTGAGGAGTTGACATAACTGGTAGGTATGCTAGGTAATTATTATTTGTATTTAAACAATTCATATCCATTAGACTATAAAATCAGATTTCTATAAAAATGGCTGCTGAGATATAGATATATATATATATATATATATATATATAATGTATGCAATATGTATGCAATAGGTGGTAGAAATTCAACAGACATATAGTGGTACCTCGGGTTAAATACGCTTCAGGTTACATACGCTTCAGGTTACAGACTCCGCTAACCCAGAAATAGTGCTTCAGGTTAAGAACTTTGCTTCAGGATGAGAACAGAAATCATGCCCCAGCAGCGCAGCAGGAGGCCCCATTAGCTAAAGTGGTGCTTCAGGTTAAGAACAGTTTCAGGTTAAGAACAGACCTCCAGAACGAATTAAGTACTTAACCCGAGGTACCACTGTAATCTTCTTTATCTTTCATTTCCCTGACCTTCACTTTATGCTATATGACATAAATACAAACAGTTCTACTCAGCCACAATTTTTTGCTGGTTGACCTTGTGCCAATGCCTATCTCTCAACCTAACCTACCTTACAGAGTTCTTAAAAAGATACAGTTGGAGACACCATCCTGAGCAACTTTGGGGAAAAAGTTGGAATGAACATGTAATTAATAATAATAATAATAATAATAATAATAATAATAATTTGTCCAGTGGCACCTTAGAGACCAACTAAGCTTGTTCTGGGTATAAGCTTTCGTGTGCATGCACAAAACAAATGTTAGTTGGTCTCTAAGGTGCCACTGGACAATTTTTATTTTTTTATTTTTACTGCATCAGACAAACACATCTACCTACCTGAATGTAATGGATTAATAATCGATGAATGTTCAAGGACACTAGATCAATTCATGTGCACCTGAAACAATGTGGTTGCCATCAAGAACATCATTGCATCCATGAGATTGGAACTACATTTTGTTGCAGAAGCAATTCAACCTGTCCCTCGGTGGGTTGCAGAATAAGTATCTGAACCGATCCCATAAGCACTGGTGGGATATGTATGGGATCGGTTACTCCCTGAATGCAAGGCACTGGTTTTATCTGTCTTTAGTTTTGGAAAAGATAAGACCATTGCAGTAAAAAACCACTGTGCATCACAGAATTTGGATGTACAGTCTATTCGATTATTTTATTTTTATTTAAGCATTTGTGCATCGTATTTATTTATTTGATCAATTTGCATACCACCCTTCATAGATCTCAGGTTGGTTCACAGCACCCAATAACTTAACATTATCTGAGCAGTCAGCAAAATAATATACAAGCAAAACCAGTAAGCAAATAATTACAACGAAAGGTGAGGAAGTTGCAGTAGAAAATACAGTGGTACCTCGGGTTACATACGCTTCAGGTTACAGACTCCGCTAACCCAGAAATAGTGCTTCAGGTTAAGAACTTTGCTTCAGAATGAGAACAGAAATTGTGCTCCGGCGGCGCGGCAGCAGTAGGAGGCCCCATAGGCTAAAGTGGTGCTTCATGTTAACAGTTTCACGTTAAGTACGGACCTCCAGAACGAATTAAGTACTTAACCTGAGGTACCACTGTAATATAAAATGACAAAAAAGTTCTAAAGGCAGGGCTTTTTTCAGCTGGAACTTGCCGGAACTTAATTTCAGAATCTCTTAGGTGGGCAGCATTGCCAATATAAGAGAACAAGGCGGGCATTCATGGTGATTTCCAGCACCTCTTTTTCTAGAAAAATAGCACTGACTAAATGGTGAATAAAAAATATTGAGGAGGGAAGCTTGGGTGCCCAAAGAACCATTATTAAGTGTCTGATTAGCCTTTCTGAAGAGGACATTCTGTAACTGGAGTGTGAACATTAAAAAGGCCCTCTCTCGAATAGGAATGGGGGTAGAAATCCAAGTAAGTTTGCATGTAAAAGCAAACCTACCAACTTTTCACACTCTGGAACAACAGGAGGACTGAAACGCAGCCATCCTTCAAAATTCACGGCTCTGGATTTTGCAATGCAGCTCTTCTGCCAAGTAACACATGCCAAAAATACTTAAGCTGTGGGAAATAACATGCAGAAATGCACTATCCTGAGAAAAGTGCTCTGCAAAAAAATATGTACCGTAGACAAAATTGCTGACAAAAATGTGTTTATTGGGATATATTTGCACTAAAATGCTGGTGAATTCTCACACCTTTTTTTATTAGAAAAAAATAGCACCACATCTCATTTGGTGGGGGTCTCTGAGGAGAAGCCACTAAAGATGTCCTCAGGGTTTTTGGTGGGTATATATAGAGGCCACACCTATATAGGATACACACACACACATTTCCGAGCACAATTCAAAGTGTTGGTGCTGACCTTTAAAGCTCTAAATGGCCTCAGCCCAGTATACCTGAAAGGGTATCTCCACTCCCATCGTTCTGCCCGGACACTGAGATCCAGCGCCGAGGGCCTTCTGAAGGTTCCCTCATTGCAAGAAGTGAAGCTACAGGGAACCAGACAGAGGGCCTTCTCAGTAGTGGTGCCCACCCTATGGAATTCCCTCCTATCAGATGTCAAGGTGATAAACAACTATCTGACTTTTAGAAGACATCTGAAGGCAGCCCTGTTCAGGGAAGTTTTTAATGTTTGATATTTCACTGTGTCTTCAATATTCTGTTAGGAGCTACCCAGAGTGGCTGGGGAAACCCAGCCAGATGGGCATGGTATATTAAATTTTTTTTTTATTATTATTATTATTATTATTATTATTATTATTATACCTTCCTTGCCATGGGATTGAGATCAATGAAGTTTTCCATGGGGACAGGAGTGACTTTTTTAGATTTTGCATCATAGCTCATACTTTGCATTCATTAAGGTTCAATTTTCAATGATTAACATCTCAATTTAAAGGTTCTTGGCTAACAAGGCTTTCCTGGAAAAGACCTTTGCATTTGACCATCCTCCACAATCCCAAACCCTAGATGGACTCATGGTCTGTCTCAGTTTAAGGCAGTTTTGTGTGTTTTCTCTCCAAACCTCCCATTTATTTATTAATTTTTTTTTTTAAAGCATGCTTTTTCTTTGTGAGGTAGCGAAAACACTCACAGTGACTGAACAGCATTTAATTCTTTTTTTAAAAAAGTGTCTGCTGGCACTTAATGCTGTTATATTTTCACACTCTTATCGCAAGCTGCTATGGCTTATGGAGACAATATTCACATCCCATGGGAGGCCATGCAAAATTCTACATGATATCTAAAGATTTCTTTAGAGTTGCTCATTTCTCTGCAGTAGTAAATTCACCAGCCAAGATATCCAACAGGAAAGAAGATGACATCAAGAGCAAAACAGCTCCGCGAGAGAATTTAATGTCACAATAATTACATGGTACATAGTGGAGGCCACACGACGATTAGGAATCCTAGCACAGCTAATTAAGCAAGTCAAAATTGCTGCTTAAAGTAGTTTAATGTGCAAGATCACATGGCTTCTGGATTGCTAAGTACCATGAGGAATGCCCACTTGCAACAGAATTGGAAAACAAAAAGTGATCTCAGGCACAGTATGCCATTGGGTTGCACATACAGAGCACCTCCTGACACATGCACATCAAAACCTCCCAGCTCTTTGACAACAGCGCTGCCAGCATCTGACCTGTAATACCATTAGAAGCCGGTTTTCTGTGCTCTGACCCTGCAAAGGCTTTCTCCGAACTCGCTGCCATTTGGTAAAGAAGAAGCAGCAGCAAAACACTCCTTTAAAATCCCCTGCGCTGCTTCATTTGTTGTGTATAGGCTTCACACAATAAATATCACGAGGCCTGGGGGTAATGTTATTTGGAGACCAAAGAAAAAGAGCTGAATGAACAAATACAACAGGACAGCCCTACAGGTAGTAGCGGCTGACACACATATATTGGCTTGCATCAGAGGCTGAACCACCAGAAAGTTGTCTTGGAAGGATATAGCAACCTCTTGGCTTTAACAAAAGGGCTTCATATATTTGTTGTTCAATTCACCAATTGTTACTATTCTTTATTTACTGAACTTATACACTGTCTTTCTGCCAGGGCACCCAAGGCATTTTGGGTGGCTTACAGTAAGTACCACCCACTCTTCTGTTTTGGATTATGTAGACCTGGAGCCCGAATTTCATGGCCCATTCTTCGAGAACCCAATATTGGGGGGGGGGGTACTGAATGTGGCCACAATGGCATACTTGGGAACTACGAGACTCTGTGCAAGGCCAAGATTTGGTGCGCACAAATCCACCCACCATTGTACTGCCTTTGCAAAGACAGGTAAGGAGGTGTTGGGAAGGAGGCACAAAGGCTCTGACAGGGTCCTAGAGCCCTCCCATCACCTCTCCAAAGCTGAGAACGTGCTAACTATGCTTTGGGAAGGAGGCAGGAGGAATCTAGGGTGCTGTCAGGGTCCTCCTGCCTGCATCCCCAAACAAGTATTTACTAGGGTTTGGGAAAGAGGTAGGAGGACTCTAGGACCTTTTCAAAGCCTCACATCTCTATTTCAAAGCTCAGTGTCTCACTTACCAGACTTTGAAGAAGAAGAGGAGTTTGGATTTGATATCCCACTCTATCACTACCCTAAGGAGTCTCAAAGTGGCCAACAATCTCCTTTCCCTTCCTCCCCCACAACAAACACTCTGTGAGGTGAGTGAGGCTGAGAGACTTCAGAAAAGTGTGACTAGCCCAAGGTCACCCAGCAGCTGCATGTGGAGGAGCAGGGAATCGAACCCGGTTCACCAAATTACAAGTCTACTGCTTCTTAACCTTTGAGACAGTGCCTCCTCGACTCAGTGCATATGCACCCCTTGCACAGCCCAAAATTTGCTCCTGGTGGTCCTCACCTCTTACCAAGGGAAAGAAAGAAGCACGCAACCTTATGAAGAATGGTGTGATGGCCTAGGATTTGGACTCGGATGCTGAACCTGAGGGATCCCAGCCTGCACAAGATTCCCCGCCTCCAGAACCAGCTGAGCCGGGCCTGGGAAATGAGCCTGAAGGGTCCTCACCTGTGCTGGATCCTCAGGTACAGGCATCAGCTGAGTCTGCTCTGGCTCCTGAGGTGATGGAGGACCCATTGCCTGCAGGTGCTCCACTCTCAGCCCCGTCAGAGGAAGCTGAGGTTGCCTCTGGGTCTGGTAACCCTCCAGCCTCTCCTGAGCTGCAGAGGCTCAGGGCAGAGAGGCGGAGGGAACTAAGTTCCCGCAGGAGGAGTGCTCGCCTCCAGGCAGGAAAGGCGAGTCACCAGAGGATCGGGGCCGCCCTATGCCTCGGGGCAGATAAAAGCCGGCCAGACTTTTGATGCTGATGTTGGTTAAATTTTTAGTTGGGGTTGGCGGTTATTTTAATTTGGGTATAACTGTAAACTGTTTGTAATTTTGTTGTTGGTTTCTATTGATTTATTGGTTTGTTTGTTGCTCATATAGGATTTTTTAAAAAAATGTTTGATGCTTTGTTATGTTTTTATACATGCTGTAAACTACCCAGAGTGTCTGAGGAAACCCGGCAAGATGGGCAGGATATAAATTTAAAATTTAAAAATTATTATTTACTCAGAGTGTCCCAATTTCAGGAAATCAGATGGTTGGCAACATTTGGACTTAAAATGATAGCCTCCCACCTGTATTGGTGTGCTTGTCATTCATTTCAGCATCATGGCAGACACACTACTCATATATCAAACAGGTTTTCCTTGCTTCATTAGAGATATGACTCAGACAACCTGCAGTGATTTAGACACTTACTTAAAGAAAGAGGTACCAGCTGAATCAGTAGCACTGT